TCTCTCTCTCTCTCTCTCTCTCTCTCTCTCTCTCTCTCTCTCTCTCTCTCTCTCTCTCTCTCTCTCTCTCTCTCTCTCTCTCTCTTCCCCCCCCCATCTGCCGTGTCCCATCCATCAATCTACCACTCTGTGCTAATGCCTAAATGCAGGCAGCGAACAGCATGACTGCTGGAACATCCCAAAAACAACGATGGTGATCACAAACAAAACATGATAATAACAATTCAAATGACAATGGCATGACACCAATAAAGCTTGAATGAGACAGTGTGACATTGAATACAAAAAATTGTCAGAGTTGACACTGATTTTAACTTTCTTCTTCATTCTCAGAGTCTGTTGGCCTAAAGAAAAATGGTTGGAATGACGGAATCACAGTTTGACAGGTGACACTAACTGAGGCTTTCTCAACCAGAAATTTGACTTTAAGTCTCAATAATCAGCCATACCCATATACTGGCATATACAGATGCAACTGAAGGCTCCCGCTGTTCCATGAGACTGTGAAGTTGGGTAAGGAGACAAACCTGCAGAAGCGAGCCCTGTTGTTCCGAAGGTACCGCCATCAGAATTTCCTGCGCTGGCTTGACTGATGCGCACTGTTGTCCCACCCATGGCAACACCAGGGGGCCCACCACCGCTCCCCCGAGCTGCACCTGCACCACTACTGCCACTTCCACTTCCCGCGGCACCCCTTCCACTGCCTACTGCAGCTGTTGGTGAGCCCCAAGCAGCCCCCTCCGGGCTGTCTGCCCGTCCAGCAACAGCAACTGACACCTTGTTCCCGGCAGCAAGAGTTCCTTCATCTGGGACTGCTGTTGTGATAGCACAACGCTTTCCAGGCTGGGGTATTGGCCTCATTGCCGCTCTCATTACATCAAGGGGGACTTTTGACCGGCTAATACTGTGATTCTCATCACCCGAAATAGCAGTCTCGCTTGGGGACTGAGCAGGGGAGGCTGACTTCAGATTCCCTCTGCCACCTCTACTCCTTCCAGGCTTTTCGTCATGGTCTCCCACCGCACCACCATTCCCAGCACCAGGTAGCTCATCGCAAGAGCCGCTGGCCACATTACCAGGGAATCCCAGACGCACACGCTTTGGAGCGGGCCCTCGAAACCAGCTCATGGGTGGAGGACACTTGGGAGATCCCCTCCCATCAAAATTTGCCTTGCCATGATGAAACCCATTTCCACTATTACTAGTTGAGCACGAACTGACGGCACTGCCATTGCTGTCTACCAGCTGAGCTTCGCCATTCCGAAATCTGCAGAGCCCTGAGAAGCGAGATGCATCCTCTTTCTGAAAGGCAGCAACTGGTGTGCCACCTATCCCGGCCACACCCATTGCAACCAATCCTCTGAACGTGCTTTCTGCCGCAAGCTGGCGTAAAAGCTGTCAATAACAGTAGAGCAAACAGAACAAAATAGGTAAGATTACCCATTGCAACCAATCCTTTGAACGTGCTTTCTGCCACGAGATGGGTAAAAGCTGTCAATAACAGGAGAGCAAACAGAACAAAATAGGTAAGATTTTCGGGTTGCTTAAGCGAACCTCGAGGATCGGTGAAAGTTCAAAGTGGGCCATTTTTGGTAATCAGAACTGCCGATGCAGGTTGAAAGGAAAGTCGAGCTACAGTGCCAAATCGCGCAAACAGAACAATGATGAGTAATAGCATAATAGGCAGCAGTTTGCAGTGTAGTTTTTGCTATGCAGTCAAAACCATACATGCAAGTGCACGTCGTGCGGGCGGTTCCCTACGTGCGGCGCACGCGCCCAACCGATCCCGTGCGGCACACGGCGCGTGCGGAGAACGACCCGTCACCCCCCTCAGAAAAAAAAAAGGCCGTGGTCGAAACGGTGCGTTTGAGGCGCCCCACCAAAATTATAAGCGAGATGAAAAAAACATTTACAGGAGTACTGCCTCACCTTGCTCCTCCTCCCCTTCCTCATCCTCCATGTCTCCTCCTCCCTTCTCCTTTTCGTCTCCTCCTCCTCCTCCTCGTCCTCCTGTTTGTCCTCCTCCTCCTTCCCTTCCTCATCCTCCTTGTCTCCTCCTCGTCGTACTTCCTCATCTCCCATGCCTCCTCGTCTCCTTCCCTTCCTCGTGTCCTCCCTTTCCTCGTGTCCTCCCCTTCCTCGCCGTCCATGTCTCCTCCTCCTCCCACTCGTCCTCCTCCTCCTGCCCTTCCTCTTTTCCCTCCATCCATCTCTTCTCCTCCCCCATCTCGACTCCTCCTCCTCGTCGTCCTCGCTATCCTCGCCGTCCTCCTCGTCCACATCCTCCTCCTCCTCTCCACATCCCCCTCTCCTTGCCATATCCCCATCTTCCTGTCATACGCCCCTGTTCCCCCTCCCCCCAACAGATAAAATAATAAAAATTAAAATTAAAAAACCTGCACGATTCCACACAGGCACCCCCCGCACGGAACTCCGTACGGAACTCCGCACGAATGTGCGGCTCGTGCGGTTGCAAGTATGGTCAAAACTGTGTTCCAGCAAGCTTTACCAAACCACAGCACTAGCAGTCAGACGCAAATGTCTCCCTCAACAAGGTGTGCCTTACAGCAGCACCAGCGCCAAACATGCTCCTGCTACTTCAACTCAGGCGAAAGTGAGCATGAGTGGTGCACGACTCTGTGCAAGCACGCTTACTTTAAAAGTGACTCCTGTGTTTCCTCGGGGTGGACACATGCAATTATTAGGTGACAATACGTCTTGCAAGCCAAAACACCCAATAAAAGACACGATACACGTCGGCATACAGCAGACATATCAGTGCAACCAAGCCTATGACGTCAACAGAATACACCACATGGAAAGTATGGCAATCATTCCGAACGGGCCTACCTCAGGTGGTACACCCATGAACTGTCGAAATACAGACCCAAATTTGAAGCATGGTTACCGTCCGGACGTTCGGATCCCATTCCACACAGTCCGCGTCTGGATGTCTGGGAGGACGTCCAGTCTGGTAGGTCCGGATTTTTTATTTTATTTTATTTTTCCGCCGCCCGCCCGCCCGCCCGAAACAGAGAGCGAGCGAGCAAGCAACCGAGCGAGCGAGCAAGCGAGCGACCGACCGAGCGACCGAGTGACCAACCGACCGACCGACAGACCGACCGACAGAAACAGAGACATACAGATTGAAACAGAGAGTGACAGACAGACAGACACAGACAGACATACACACACACACACATACACACACACACACACACACACACACACACACACACACACACACACACAGAGAGAGAGAGAGAGAGAGGTGCACAGGCTGGATACTGCCTTGAGGTAGGTAGGACCCAATTCACTCCCTGTCCGTAAACCTTGTGTCTTCTTCTTCTTCTTCTTCTTCTTTGTCCGAATTTTTTTGGACGTCAGTCGTGCCGGACCTCATGCTCTGTCCACGTCCGGGTCCGGGGTAACCATGGTTTGAGGCGAGATGCAATCGAAATAATTACGACCGGTCAACTCGATGATGATATCTCAAGACCGTGCCCTTTTAAAGAATGAATAAATGGAAAAGAAGGAAAAGAAGAAAAGAGGACTTCTATCATCAAAACATGCAGTATGAATGTGGAAATGTGCCAGAAGAACACACCACAGACACCATTCGAACTGAAGCAACAAGCCAATAGAGAACATCCAACAACCTTCATGGTGTAGTTGAATCCAGGTTCCAGAAAGCACCAAATCTGGGTAATGGCCCCAAGTCTTCCGGGTTGAGATGAGGAGGGATTCCCGCCCTCCTTTTGCTCCATATTTTGCTCCATATATAATAAAGCATGCTATTTAAAAAGAAAAAAAGAAAAAAAAAAAGGAAGAGAAGCCCCACCGAGTACCCATAGCTGAGAATGGTAGTCCATGTTCATAAACTCTATGAAATCAAAGGTGGTACGGGATGGCACTGCTCTGCCCCTGCTTTGTATCTGTGGCATGATGGCATCTACTCTTGCTAGCCTATCCTACTCTCAGCTCCTTCTCTGTCCTTCATGCACTCTATCAAGTGCGTATCATTGATGTAAGGCACACCTGGACCCTGTTTCCAGATGTTCTAGCAAAAGGAGATTTTGCGGGAAAAAAAAAGTTGGCAGAGGTAACAAAGACACTGTCTGCGCCTCACCTGCACAGCCCACCCTGGAGCAGTGATGCTCACTTCAACAACAGGTCCTCCCGCTGCAACGACAGCAGATCGTCTTGCAAACGCCACAGAGTTGTTAACACGGTTAAGTATGCCATCTTTTGAGGGCGCAGAGACATGTACACGTGATGTTCTCTCTACGAGTTCTTTGCGAATGGCGAACTCCAGCAGCTAAACAAAAACGAAAAAACGATAACATCGACAAGATACAGAGTCAGCAGAACACAGGCGTGAGGAAATAGCATGGGCAATACAGCACCAAAAAGGAGTACTCCAGCTGCGACTAATACAAATGCATCCCTCGCCAGTCAAGGTGTTCTTCATCTTGAGAAAGAAGCCTGAACGGCGGCTATCACCAGGTCACCCGTATCAAAATTTCTCAAAACCCTCACGTCTGATTCTCATGAAAGCAAAAAGTTGAAAATCGTATGGGCCACTCCAGCTGCCACTGGCACAAATGTGCGCCTCAGCAGTGTGTGTGTGTTTTTCTCATTGGAAAGAAAGTTTAGCGGGAGGGTACTGCTAATCCAACCATGTCAAGATTTGCTCAATCTGCTAAAAAGCAAGTACAAGGTCATCAGGAGAATGGCACTGTGGTGACCTGATATGGTAGGGCCTCTGAGAAGATGCCACATCGTGACATCAATCATGCAGACGGCCTCGTGTCCACTGCAGCTAGGTCCCGCATCCCCTGGGCAGCAAAGCTATGGCCCAGGATCCTCTCTGGTAAGTGCAGCTCAAAAGGAATTTGTTCCTCGGGCCAGCAATCCTTATCCACCACTCTATCTCCTGCTCACCTCTCAGGTATTGAGAGCTCCAGATTGAAACTCCCGCTTAAACCACCAGTTCACACAAGCCTAAGTTGACGAAGCTACTTTCCAAGGCTCTTGAGCCTGCAACTGCGCGTTTTCGAAGTGGCGTGCTGCTTTTGCTACCAGCCCAGGCCAGACTCGAAATGCTCTTATCACCTAATATCGTGCTCCTGGTTCCTTTCCTTGCCGTAAGCCTATGATCTCTTGTGCTACCGATAGTGGTCATGAGATCGAGAGTATTGTGAGTCATACTGGTAAGGGGCGTAACAGACAGTATCAAGTTCACTTTTTGTACCACCCGTTAGATGATTTGTACTGGACTTCAGAGAAGGAATTGCTGTGAAGCGCACCCTCAGTCGTCAAAGCCTATGACCGACAGATTATTTCTGATGCACAGCCAAAACTCTCTGCAGCTCTCACTGCTACAGAGTATTCCAGATCCCTCTTTGCAATATCCACTTGTGATGCGTTTTGCAGCGACTCTGAATGAGTTACTCGCTCGAAGGGACCTCGCTCCTGAGGGGGGGGTAGTGTAATGACCCGCCAAAACACAGACTAAGAAAACTGCTGATTTCTTACTTTTGCTGCTGGAATGAATGCCTTGCTGTTGCTCTTTACGATTGACGTGGCAGGTTCAGGCAGTGGACCTGAGAGGAAAGGAGCAAGCTGACATTCAATCCTCCACGATGCTGGATTAATCAATGCTGGTGACGGTTCCTTTGGCCAGACGGAAGGAAGTGTGAGTGTGTTGTATGATGTAATATTTTTTTCTGACTTGCCGGTGGAATAGGAGCCGGAGTGACACTCCCCAGAATGGAAATGGAGCCAGGGCCATAAGGACCTGTTTTAGGGGGGGGAGGGGAAGAATGCCTTGCTGAGATTCCCGCGTTCTGCTGAGTTTTCTAAGTCTGTCTGTGTGTGCGTGCTTGCTGGTTCGTGTGCCTGTCTGAGTGCCTGTCGGTCTGAGTATGTGTAGGGCCCACCTGGGCATTTGTTTGTTTGGAAGGTCCAAGGGGCCGGTACTTACCTGTGGCCGTGACTTTTGAGGGTTGCAGCAGGGAAAACACTCAAGTAGCCGGGAGTAGGCCCGTGACACTTAGGGCAGCGGAAAAAACACTCCGGTAGCAGATAGGCCGGTACCACTCAAGTAGCCGTAGATGTGTGGGGAACCGAAGGCCGAGCAAAAGAAGACAGAAAGTTAGTATTTTTAGAGGCCCAGTTGCTGGTAGGCAAGGTCTTGGCAGTACCAGTCCAAGTAGCATGAGTCTACAGCCTGTGCGGACGATATCAGAGCCTGCAATGATGTCTCCCTCCCAAAGTGAGGACGTACTGGTTGCTTGGAGGCCGCGCGGCCTAGAAGTCACTGCCCAAGAGGCAGGTAGGCCGCTATATCTCCAGGAGGAGTGAAGTGCTCCGCCTCATTTGCGGTATGCAAGTTTGGGAGTCATGCTTCTTGAGCGGGTGCTAGTTCTCAGAGCGCTGCTGGAAGGAAGAGCGCTCCCAGTACAGCACTGGGAGGAGGAAGAAGGAGCCGGGCGCTCTGCCTGGCTATGGCGAGCAGCCCAGCCTGAGGAGTAGGAAGAAGGGGACGAAGGAGGAGAGTGGTGAGGTACTCACCTGGCTATGGTGGACGCCATCTTCATCACATTGTTAGGCGCTGCATCTGGAAGGCCCCAGTTGGGGTAGCGCCACACCAAGAAGACAGAGTCAGGCATGGCGGCCTGAGTAGCACCGGGCATAGCTGCTTTGCGTTGTCTTTTGCACGCCAGGGCTAGGCCCTTAGTAGTCCGCCATAACCTCGGCCTGGTTGAAGAGGAGGAAGAAGGAGGCTATGGCTATGGTGGACCTCAGATGTGCCAAGCAGTAGAGGAGGGATTCGGACTTTGATTCCGGTTCAGCCATTCATCATTATTATTACTATTATTTATTGTTTGAATACGAGAGGGGGAGATAAGGGGGACGACTTGGTTGGCGAGAGAAGGGGGAATTGTCATTGGTCTTTTGCTGGTGTACATCCTCTTCTTCTTCTTTCTTTCTTCTTCTTCTTCTTCTTCTTCTTCTTCTTCTTCTTCTTCTTCTTCCATATCTCCCTCCTCTCTAAACAATAAATCAAATTCCAATTAATTCCTAAGTTCATTCATTTCTTTTGCAATTGGACAGCATTGTACTTCTTTGTGAATTTGCACTTTGAAATTGGCCAGGATTGTAACAATACAATGTTATATGCAAGGAACCCGACTGTTCAACACTTGCTGGAGCGCTTCAGATCACATGCATTTACACAGATTTCACAGATTGCGATGTCTCGCACAAAGCCCAATAGAAGATGAATGAGAACCAGGAAGCTCAACTCAAACCATTAAAGAGGGAACATCCTGAGTCCAAAATATTCAGCGCCATATAGAGTTACAAGTCTTCTTCAATCAACATGAGTTCCAGGCCTGGCGCTCATCAGCACCAGCTGCCGAATGCCAACAACAGCGCTCAACAGGTAGTGTCACCATAGCTCACATTTCCCCCTCTCTCGTCTGCTTTCTTCTCTCTCTCTCTTGGTCTTCAGTCCTGGTCTACTCTCACTCATCATGCATGTACACTTCCTATCACACAAGGATCTACTTTGAATACTACTCACTGGTGTCTCCTACTAACTATCTCTACTAGTATACTAACTAGCACTGGCGCAGCTATGGCTGCCTTCCCTCCGGCCAGCGCCTCAACTTCTCTTCCTCTCACATAGCGCTGCTCTTCAGCCTAGCGCAGCTCACACGTCTAGCGCACAAGTGCCACGGCACTTCCACACTCTCATGCGGAGTAAGCATCTGTCCAAATGGGAGGCTGGCCAGTCCTTTATAGTGCTGGACTGGCCTGGCGTGCCCTGTATTCAGCCTCAAGTGTCTGGGACTCCTGCCCAGTACCCGTTGTTGCAAAGTGTATGTCCCAGTATCCTTTCCCATGGTCTGTTGCTGCTTTGGGCCATTGGGCCCGTCTCTTGGGATCCTGGTCTGAATCAGGACTGACTCGTGGGATTATGACTGGACTGGGACTGTGGCCTCTGACTTATGGCCGAACAGACATGACTTTCCATCGAGGAGACATGACCCTAACTCAGTCTTGAAAACTATGTCCAATACCTGTTCGTGCAGGACCTGTTTGTGACTGTTCAAAACGACTTTTCACTTCATTATGGATGTGACATTTGCCTCAGGAACTTTGTCTTTTGGGTTGCTGCTTGTGGATTTAAGTTCTGGCCGATAGGGCCCCTCGCTGTTGGCCATACATCTGGGTCTAATTCGTAAAGACCCTTTTATATATCTCAAATGCATGACTCATTCTTGGTGGATTATTGTGCTGTTGATGTCCTTTCCTTGTGCACACTCGGATATGATTGACATGCACCCTTTGGTCCCGGTAACCAGTTGGATGGAGCGCCTTGTATACTAGCTCTGCTGAATTGCACTCCAACTCACAAATGTTTGGATAAGTATACAGAGAACACGTGCCAGTGATCACTACAGACTGCATCTAGAAGGACAAATATTGACAACGAATGGCTACCGATCCAGACCTTGGTCCATATCCACACTAAGTGCAGGACAAGGGAACATCAGAAAAAAAAAAAAAAAAAAAAAAAAAAAAAAAAAACAATGAGGACAGCAGGTGTTGATTGCAAGCGTGACTAATACCTGTTCTTCAACAAATGCCGCCGCAGATCCAGACATAACAAGAGAGATGCGACCCCCACTAACTGTGCATATATCACAGCGCATGGTAATTGCGCCCTTTGTTAAAGCAATTGTTGATGCTGCTGTTGGTGGTGGAGATACACTGGTCCATATTCAGCAGTCCGTAATCGACCATCCGGAGCCGGCAGCGAACAAGCCAAATTATGACACATGTGAAGATATAAAACAGACAGCCGGAATTAGAACTTGTGCAAAAGGAGTAAGAACACGGCCATCCCAATCCCACACACATCAAGCCAAAGTGCAACATACACGAAGATGTAAAACAGGCAGCCAGAATCAGAACTTGTGCAAAAAGACAAAGAACTCTTCCTTTCTTTGAAAAAGGGTGACGGCCTTGAGATACCATCATCAAACTGACCAGCCCTGGGAAATTCAGAGTTGAAATATGTTACTCATCTTCTTCCCGTGGAGTTCGAACTCAGGTCAGTATTCCAACAGTTCAGGGATGTACCAACTGACCTAGGCCAGCTGGTAACAAAGAACTCGTCCACTTTGAAGCCGCGTGCATTATCTTTGACGCCCACTCACAGAAAGTCACACACAACTCATGCTCACGCACGTATCATCACCCACCCCTATAACACCAGCCATTGCACCATATACTTGAAAAACGGTCCCTGCACACTGAAGTAGGTCACACAACCTATGCTTCCTTTCTTATCTGCATTTGCAGCAGGTCTCGGATTAATATCTTTTCGACGTCGCACTTCAAGTTTAAGACATCTGTATGGTTTAATTAGTACGATAACTGTTTTTTTTGCTATCAATGCTGTGATAATTTCCATAAATATTTTATGGAGATATATAATAGGTAATTCTGATTAGTGTTTTTTATTTTCCATGGATAGTCAATGATAATACAATATCCTGCACAATTACTCAACACCATTTTCACCACCACCCTCCATAATTTTCCCATTCCAAATTGTCAGATTATTGCGAGGCACAAGGCCTCGGTAAGCCCTGCAGGGCCCGTTTATCAGCAAGGTCGGCCGCCCTAAGTGAAGGCAGGCCCAACCTAGGCCTATTTTGGACTACCACGCAACTGAGGTAAATTCAGGCAGTTGCGCAGCGCCAGTTGGTTGAAAGCGCCCGGGCCCAGGCTGCCTTTATCAAATGTAACTGAGGCAGGCCCTGGGCCAGATACGCAACATGGACCGAACACAGGCTGTGGGCAGCTGGGCACGGGTAACCACCACAGGCCCTGGGTCTGAGGCTCTGCCTCACGGGGCCTACCGGAAGCTTCTGGGCTGGGGCCCAGGGCAGCCTAACCGCACGCAGCAGGCAGGCCACTTCCATTTAGGAAAGAGCCTGCCTCCAGATTCGGCATTCGGGCACTGGCTGCATGCTGCACAAGCGCTGCTGCGCTAATCGCTGGCCAGGCCCACGCGATCACAGGCGAGCAGGGAGAGCAGGCAGCCATAGCCAAGCTGCGCTACATTGTGCTGGATGGGGCGCATGGTGGTCCTTGGGTGCATGGGGCATCTGTGAGTGGGGGATCGAGGTTGTGAGTGCTACGAGAGACATACCTGGTGCTTGAGGCGAACGGAATTGGCCAAGATCTGCTCGTACTTTGGGGAGCTGTTGACGTCATCAGCGGCATTGTAGATATGCTAGATAGGATCTGCCATTTGTAGTCTGGGCGCCGAGCGCCAGATAGGATGTCGACATTGGTTCTTTGTTGATGATGAATAGACTATTCGAACATTGTCACTTGTGAGCTTTTTCTGTGCTCTTATTTAGTGGGACTCGTGTTGCAATTCTGCTTTTGGTTCGAGGTCACGACCATCTGGTCTCATGTGTACGATGTTGCTTGGTTTCTGAAGTTCGCTATCGCTCATTTTCCTTGCAATTTGGTATCAGAGCTGTGGTACGGTGCGCTAATCTGGCGCTTGTCTTCTGGCTATGCGGTACATACATGTGGTCTGCTGGGCGAGCGGCTGTAGGGAGTGTGTAGTGAGGAGGGCGAAGGCAAGCAGGGCGACCCAGGAGGTGAGGGCTATCGCCAGGAAGGCTACATGGTGAATGTTGGGTGTTCGCAGTGTGATGAGAACTATCTGATGTGCGATTGATGCTGAGGTGGACGGTGGTGTAATGCTGGTTGTGCCAAAGCAGCGATTGGTCATCACAGTCAGCATCAGGTCATCTGGTGAGAATATCTGTGGTTGGGGGCAGCTATTTTGAGGTACGTTGCTCTTAACCTTATCTACCCTCTTCGACACTTCGTACCGTGAGGATGTGTGTTCTGTCTTGAGGGTCCTCTCATGTGAGGAGCCGAGTGCACTCAACCTTGAGACTCGGCATTGTTCACGTGGAGCATCTGGAAGGAGAGGGCGGAGCTATCTGAAGGGCCCTGGACGAAGCACTGGGTCACGGTCACCATGCCAACCCACCGGGAGTAGAGCACGCATGCTTTGCTGCTTTGTCCTTTGTCTGCCTGCTGCGCTGATAGATGGGTGACGACGGGCAGGCCAGCCCTACAGGGGAGACGAGTACCGGGCATCTATAAATAAGCACCGGCGGGGTTACCTTCCACTGGCTGTGATCGTCGTCCTGTCTGCAACGTTAAATAATTCCTGAGGACTTTGGGGGGCGTTCTTAAACGCCTCTTGATCAGCCAGGTGGTCGGTGTAAGGCTCGCTGCACGCAAGGATAAACATAGTGCAGGGCTGGCCAGCTCAGCATACACTCGGGGCACAAGGGGTGGGCCGTGTGCACACCTTTAGACACGCACGCTATCTGGATCGCTCAGGGATGCTGACGTCAAGTGACAATCAAGAGGAACTGAGGGAGGGGTAGGTTCAGGTGATCAGTTGGGGAAAGATTCCACTCTGCAAACAGCCAAACAAATGATTATATTTTTAATTTTGATTAGTTAGATGTTACAGCCATTGACATCTGACAGACAGCATTAGGTAGAATTCTGCTATCTGTTTGTGGACTAATTAAGTAAAAATAGTTTGGTTTGCAGGAATCTGAACTCACCTGTTGGACCCGAATGTATAGACTCTGAAATAGCCACCGGTTAATTAATTTATTTATTTTAAATCGGTCTGTGCATTATGGTGCGGTAGGCATCGAGTGTGTGACCTAGTGCAGTCTGTGTGCAGTTCTGTAGCTTATGAGCGACAGAGAGGACACTAGAGAGGACGATAGGATCCTGCAATCAGCAAGGCGCCCGATAGCCCACTTGGCATTAGGACCAGAGGGCGACAGGTTCCTGTTCCGCCAGCAGAGAGAGAGACAGCAGCAGCAGCGAAGAGCTAGGGCCGCAGAGGCAAGCAGGGGCAAGCCAGCCTCACTTGCGAATGCCCTGCTTGCCTCTGCGGCTAGTAGTTCAGGGGCTGTAGGGTCAACGGTCGCACAGACACTGAGTCAGTCCGCTGGCGTCATGGCAAGCCAGCCGTTAGTGTTGACCCCCGAGGAGGTCGCCATACGACAAGCAGATGCTCAGGAGGCACAGTTACAGAAGGCTTTAGGGGAGATAGAGGCAGAGAAAGAGAGAATGATCAGGAGAAGGGCAAGGATGCAGCGGAGACAAGCTGACATTAGTCAGCTTGAGGAGATGGACCTGACGAACATGGATGATGATGTGAGGACCCTGAGGACAGTCTTGCTAGATGTAGTAGAAATGCAGGATCACCAAATGGCTCTCTTACAGGACATCCAGCAGAGCTTGGCTGTGCTGGTCGGCACCATCACCATCAGGGCCTGGTGCCTGGCCCGTGGTACAACCTCCTCCTTTTGTCCCACCCGTGACTGGGGTATCCCCATTTGTAATCCCTCCAGCATCGGTGCAGGCCGCTTCCCTAGGAATGCTTTTGATAGGCGGGTTCTTAGCAGGTCCTAGTGTGCCGATTCCTGTACAGTCAGCGTATTCGCAACCTCCGTCGCAGGTTGCTGTAACTGGGCAGTCTGCTGTCTCGCAGCCAGCACAACCGCTGGGCACACAGCCCCAACGGCAGTTAGTGCAGCAGCCTGCGCCCCAGGGTCCACAGCCTGGAGTGGGGCAGGTACCGGGACAAGGCCAGTGGGTTCCAAAGGACGGCAATAGCCTCACCCAAACCCTTTTCAGGGGATAAGGGGGCCGAAGACCTTGACACATGGTTGAGGTCAGTGTCAGTTTGCGTCAAGTGTAAGTTGACCTTGCCACATGAGGAAGTGCTTGTGGCTGCCTCCTATATTGAGGGAAGTGCAGCAAGATGGTTAAGTGGGCTAGTGCAACTTCAGGGGTACGGACATGATTTCCGCGCTTGGGCAGTCAACCAGAAACTGAAAGACTTTCTCAAGATGGTGGAGGATAGGTGGCATGATCCTCAGGAGGCCCAAAAGGCCACTGATGCGATCCTGACTTTGAGCAACAGGCCGTTCAAGTCAGTAAGAGATGCCACAGACGCTGTAGAGTGTCTGATCTGTGTTCTTGGAGTGCGCTATGATCCCCAAGTCTTACTGACCACTTACCTGAGGTGTCTTCCCATGCCACTCGGGAATCAGTCGGCAGGAGAGGCTAACATCAATGTGCACAACTTCCCTTCGTTTAACAAGAAGGCCCTAGACCTGGATGCAAATATAGGGCATGGGCACCAACCCACAACGGATGGAAGGAAGAAAACAATGCCTCCCAACTGGAAGGTGAAGGGTCGCATCATGTTCGTCGACAACGATGGTTCCACCATCGAGTTGGACGACGACTTCCATGAGGGAGTAGGTGCAGAGGCGGGCAGCGTAGACGCTTCAGGGGGTGGAGCAGTCGTTGCCTTAGTTCAAAAAGGTAAGGCGGCCGGTAGACGCCGTGGAGGCTGCCGGTCTAGGAGTCAAGTTGACCCCAATGCTCCTCCATGGGAGAAAGTGGGTCTCATTGAGGACGTGTGGAGAGACCGGTACACCTAGCAAGCTTGTATCCGTTGTGGCCAATATGTCCATAACCAGTTCAAGTGTCGAAACAAGAAGGTGACCGAAAAGATCCCGCCTACAATGGGGCAGGCAATGGTATCCTCCGTTTCCACAAGTAGCAACATGGCCAGTAGTTTTGGCACTGCTCCGGGAAACACGTCGGGCCAGTAGGAATTGTAGTTGTTC